CAAAGGAAATTGGATATTTTAGGCACTTAAAACCTAGTGAATTCAGGGTTATCCAGAGTGATAATTGATAATTGTCACTTAATTGTGTAGATTGAGTGTTGCTTGAGCTACCTCATGCGTATAGAACATGTGGAGCTAATGTTGAGCCACCATAACCCTTTTATGTGACAAAGGGTTGAGATAATAGAATAATTTACACTATTTGATTATATTGCTTAACTGTCTGCAAGTAGATATGTTAAATTTATTAATTAGGATTTGATAACCTTGCATATTGTGAAATGTAATTTTGTGCATGAAAAACTATTTGTGAACGATGAGAATGATGAACATCTTATATGGACTAGTTGAGAAATTTAAAATGTATATATATTAAATATGATGAGTGTTAGCATGATCATGTTAGGGGGTAGGAGTTTACCTATAAGAAGGAGTAGTGAAAGTCCATATAACATGTATCTCCTTAGTGTCTATAAGGCACGATTTTGGAGATTTTCTCCTTAGTATCCATATGGATACGGTATTGGAAAGTGATGCTCCTTAGCATCAATGATGTAGTGTTGAAGTAACGACACCCTGATTCATGTGTGATAGGGAGAAACCATAATCCTGAAGTAGGATAAGACACCTTTAGCTAGGTGATCCTACCACCAAAGGTGAGCTCAGACCATTGTGGATGTGTATTTAGTTCAAGAGCCTATGGTTTCAGTTAGGGTGATATGGAGGCTTGGATAGTAGAATGATCATGCTAGTGGTAAATGATTTGTGTTGATAGAAAAGAGTATGTTATAATATGTAAAAGTATATTTTGGTATTTTAATAGCTTTACTCCCTAATGGTTGTGCATGTTAACTAATAATAGTGAATTATTCTGTTACTGAGATGTTTATCTCACCCTGTGGCTATATCTTATAAGTGAGGGCTCCAGTAGGGGCAAGGGGAAGGAAGGGACATCTGAAGAGTGAAGAGCCTAGTTGTATAGCTCTTCCCTTTCCTCTTTTTGGGTATTGTATTGAATATTGTCAATACATAATGCCAACTTAAGAACATGACATTACTTTAGGATATCACTTGCATGAATATGTAATAAGTGTGCATATCTTGGTCCACGGTTGATGTTGTGTATGCTTGGCCAAGTTAAAATTACAAGTGATATAATTGAAGTGATTTATGTGCCAAAATGACCAAATTGACATGCACGTTAAATTTAATCCACCCCTTTATGTTATTGTCATGTAGGGGTTTGGTGGTTATTTTGAGTGTGATTGCTTATTTCTGTGATATTAATGAATTGTCATGTTATTTGTGGTCCTCTTGAGGTGGTCAAAGTGTCTCTCGCGCTAATGGCATTTGGCATTATGAACTTTGTATGTATTTTGAGGTAAAAACAAACCATTTTGAGTTCCAGTATCTATCTTTAAACAGATAATTGCTTAAGTGTAAGGCCAGTGCCATTAGTTAGAGGGCTCGAAGAGCTTCGTGTGGACACTTGAACTGCCTAAATCGAATGTCAGATGGCGAAACGGCACTCTCTGAAAGTTTGGAGAGCTGTCATGATCACAGATTGCCGTCATGACAGTAGGTGTGCGTCATAGTGCATGGTAGTTGCACTGCGGTACAAGTAGCCTTAGAGGGACTGTGCCATTCACCGCGACGGGCGTGGCTTACGCTACGGCAAATAGGCCAAATATTTGAAAAATGGCTTATTCTAGCCTAATTGAAGTGGTTTGATTTTTATACTTTTGTATTTGTTCTTAATTAACTTTTAATCATGGTTTGAGCTCAAACAATATTTCAAAAAGGGATTTCTTGGGATCCCATTATTTTAAACTAATTATTTTTTAGACCCTTAGTTTGTGATAACCTTTACTTGAGATTTTATCTAATCCTAACTATCACAACAGTGTGTAAGAGAGTGTTGTCTTGGTAATGTCAAGGCGGACATTACAATGAAGCATTGTGTGCCATACTGCGGTGCATGGCACAGAAAGAAATAGGGCACGTTGCTCTGTACCATATGCCGTAGTGCATGGCACATTCCCAAAAAAATACTTGTGCTCTATTAAGTCATTGAATTGTGTTTACGCTTTCATTAGCCCTTTTATTTGAATATTCTTGTACGAAGTCAGGATCTCATATGTTGAAAACAAATTGAGGGCTATTACTTTAATATTATTTTATGACTATATTGTAATGTGTGTAAATAGGATGGTAAAATCCAGATTGAGGAGGGGAGTTTACATATGTATATAAAATTTCTTGCCTACCCTATTGCCTCTTCCTTTTGAATTATAGCAATTGAAGTCTTGACATTACAAGATAATAGCAAGAGAGTGACATCTACCTTATTTCCATCACTAAGTTTGTTGTTCTGAAGGAAAAAGGATCATGTTATATTAAAGTTGCATACGCGCCGCACATGGCACAAAATTTTGAATGTCGTAGCATATGCTACATGCCCTGTGACACATGGCACAAAATTTTAAATAACCTGAGGAGAACATGAGAGACAGGGGTAAGAGAGCTGTCTCTACTAGGGCATCAAATATCAAGTACTAGGTGATATTACTGACCTATTGCTTATCGCATAAGTTTCATACCACCTTATGTTCCTAATCTACAATAATTTATCTTGAGTTAGGATATATTGAAATTGAATAAGGGAGTTTTAAAGGATTTTTTTCTTATCATTTGGTAATGAAAAGACTCTTGAGAGTCAAATTAAATTTCTGTGACTGATTAGGGAATTGATGGCTAAATTTGAGGTTGTAAGCCTAAATTGAGAAGTTTTGAAGGGTATAAGTGTTAGTGTCAATTGTGTTGAGTTGATAGAAGAGGTAGAAGGGTTTAAAGAAAATAGTTAGAGCTTGAGATTATTGAGTGTGGATGATTAAGGGGTTAATTGTGATAATTAGTATTTTGGTCAACTTGATAATTGACTATATTGCTAAACTGTGTAGCTTAACGTGAATTACACGTCGACATAGAAAAAAGGAAGCTAAAGGCTTGAATAGTACTATGGATAACCTTTATAGAAATAGAAGGTTTGAGATAACTAGGTAATTCATTCTGTTTATTAATTAGTTTAATTGTCTATAAGTAAATATGAAAAAGTGATACATGATTTTATCCATTGGCATGTTTTGGAATTTCATGTTTTGCATAAAAGGGGTTTGATTTAATGGTTTTAAAAGTAAGCTATTGTATACATATGTGTATGCATGGATATGTGATTGAAACATATGACATTATGTGTGGAAAATGGCATGATCATTTTAAGTTGGAAGTTCACCCTAAGTTGAGTGGAGAAGTGTGAAAGAAAATCTATATAATTGAGTTGACATTATGAGGCAATTTAGTGTAGAGTGTGTGAGAGAGAGAGAGAGAGAGAGAGAGAGAGAGAGAGAGCAAGAAGGTTCATTAGATAGATGATCACGTAAGTGTATGATTGGTTTTGTGAAAAAGGATATATATATATATATATATATAGTATTTATGAAAGTAATTCAACCATTGTGTTTACTTATTTATAGTTATTCCTGTTAATAAATAATAATGAATTATTTTGATTACTGAAATATTTATCTCACCCATAGTTACCATTTTATAGGTTTTGACAGTGGGAGCGGCAGAGGAAAAGAGCCAAGCCAAAAGTAGTAGAACTACTAATAGCCTATCCTAGTTGGTGTAATGAATTTGATTGTTTACAAGTCTTATTATGTACATAAGTTACTGTAAGATTGCATATACGTGTAATGTCTAGTGTACTTATGCATTTGTGGGTGTAACTTAGCCTTAGAGTGTGTAAATGTGTGATATGTGATGACTTTTGCTAAAGAGGCCTAAGATACCATTTTGAGTGCATGTTTGCATGCTTGAAAGTGATAAATGTGTGAAGTTTGGGCTAAGAGTATATGTGTGTGTGTAAGGGCGAAACTAGTCTTACTGTGTATGCTAATGGCAATTTAGTGGTCAAACTTGTGTATGCATGTGATTTTAATTATATGATTGTTTAATTAGGTGTCAAATGTCCTGTTGAATGTGGCCAAAGCCTTAAAAGTGGCTAATAATATATGGTTTAGTTTCAGGATGCTTGGATGAGTAGAAATAACATAAAACGATCATTTTGCATCATACCCTATAAATAGGAGTAGAAATAGTATATTCTTCTCATCCAAATTAAGTTGTCTCATCACAAGTATCACTATTGGGAGAATGATAAAGAGGTCCTAAAAGAATCAATTAATCAAGTTAGGTTCTAAGCATCAAATTTCATAAATTTGTAACTTAATCTCTTAATTTGCAACTCTATTATAATGAATTTGTAACTTGTATTTCAAATTTTAACCAAAAATAAACAAATTTTTTTTAACCATGTTAAAATTTGAAAAATAAATTATAAATTCATTATAATACGGTTGCAAAATTGAGAAATTAAGTTGTAAATTTTTAAAATTTTACACTTAAAACTTAATTTAAATTAATTGATCTTTTTAAAAAATTTTTATTATTCTCCAAATCACCATTAGATACAAGTTCAAAATTACGCGGCACTAGTTAATCAATTCTTTAAAAAACGATGGATTATTGGATGTAACTTGAAAACTACAGTGACTCATGAACTTAATGTCCCCCACCGGTCATGATAAAATTAGTCATGGAAAGTCTAAAAAGTCCAAATTATTCTCCATCATATTTAAAATATAAAACATTTTTTATCAGCTAATATATTGATCTTAATTAATGTAAGACAATTTGTAATAAGTGATCAATAGCATTGAATTTATTTTTTTAAAAAGTTTCTCTTATTAAACGTATTGTAAAGAGAGATTATATATAAAAAGTTTTTTGTAATTAAAATAAATTAATTTTAACTTAACAGTAATCTTAAAAAGTAAACTATTTTAGTGATACAAAAAATGACTTTTAATTATTTTTCCTTAATATTTATAAAATTAATTAAGAGTATCCTATAGATGGAGAGAATGTTCTTTACATTCAAACAAAGGCTAACAAAGGCGGCTTCTTACAGATCTTCGAGTCAACGTTGGGTGCTTTGCTTTGCTTTGCTTGCCCTTCACACAAGGCAGCATTCTTTTTTGTTTTTTCTAACTTTTGAAGCTATGCATGTTGCCTCTGCATACCCTTTATAAACCCAAATCACAACTTCCTTCGACAAATTATAAATCACAAGATACGGCTTAATTCCAATGGATCATCTTCTTCACAAGCCAACCATTCACATAGCAGCAGTCTCAATTCCAGCGTTCAGCCACCAAGCCTCCATTCTCGAGTTCTCAAAACGACTCGTTCAGCTCCACCCTCACTTGCACGTGACCTGCATCTTCCCCACCATTGATTCTCCTCCTGATCCCACCATCACCTTTCTTCAATCCCTCCCTTCTTCTTCCTCTATTCGCTGCATCTTCCTCCCTCCCATCTCCAAACACGATCTTGATTCTCAACTTCATCCTCCTGCTGTTCAGGTCCAACTCGCTCTTTCTCGCTCCCTTCCTTCTCTCCGTGATGCCCTCCAAACGCTATGTTTCGGTTCGTCGTCGTCGTCGTCCCCGCCACTTGTCGCTCTAATCACAGACCCTTTTGCGAATGAAGTTCTTGAGATAGCCAAGGAGCTCGATCTATTGTCCTTCATCTACTTCCCTCCTTCCGCCATGACGCTGTCTCTGTTTCTGAACTTGCCGAGGCTGGATCGAGAGGTTTCATGCGAGTACAGAGATTTGAAGAATCCAATCGAGATTATTCCTGGATGTGGCATTCCGATCAGCGGCCTTGATCTTCCCGAGCATCTTCAAGATCGATCTAGTCTCTCTTATGAGCTCATGCTTCAACGCTGTAAACGCTCCTCTCTTGCTCATGGGTTCTTGGTCAACACCTTTTTTGAAATGGAACAGAGCACTGTAAGAGCTCTTCAAAACGTGTTCCCAATCGGACCCATAGTCCAAACCGGGTCAAGTACCCCTGGAAACGGGTCGGGTTGTTTGAACTGGTTGCAAAATCAAGCCCCACGGTCTGCTTTATATGTTTCGTTCGGGAGCGGAGGGACACTGAGTCAGGACCAGCTCTATGAGCTAGCTTTAGGGTTAGAATTGAGCGATCAAAGATTCTTGTGGGTTGTTAGAAAACCAAGCGAATCAGCGAATTCTGCTTATTTGAGCGATGAAAAACAAGATCCATTGCAATTTTTGCCATTGGGATTCTTAGAAAGAACAAAACAACGAGGCTTGGTCGTGTCTTCTTGGGCCCCACAAAATGAGATTCTAAGACACAGTTCAACTGGAGGGTTTTTAACACATTGTGGTTGGAATTCGATCCTCGAGAGCATTGTGTGTGGTGTGCCGATGATCACGTGGCCGTTATTTGCAGAGCAGCAGATGAACGCCATTTTGGTGACGGAAGGGCTGAAGGTGGGACTAATGAGGCCAAAAGCGAATGAGAAAAATGGTGTTGTCGAGAAGGAGGAGATTGCTAAGGTAGTGAGAAGTTTAATGGAGGATGGAGAAGAAGGAGATGGGATTCGCAGAAGAATTGAGGAGTTGAAGGTTGCTGCTGCTTCTGCTTTGAAAGAAGATGGCTCCTCTACAATGACACTTTCTCAGGTTGTCGATCAATTGGAAACCTTTGGGAGGCCAAAAACGGATGAATGATCGTATGTTTTTTGGTAAGGACTTTTTTATTTTTATTTTTATTTTCTTTTTCAGTGTCAGGATAGAACTATCCAGAATGGGACTGCTCTACTTTACTGAATCACATCTTGATTCTTGAATTTTAATCAATCACTGGGCATGTTGAGGGGATGCGAAATTAATTAAATTTGATATATTTATTTTATTAAAATAAATTTTATATTTTTTTTAAATAAATGTAATATTTTAAATTATTGAGTTGTCTTTTAAATTATTTTAAAATATTTATATTTAATTATTAGGATTTAAAAAATATTATATTTTTAGTTTTTATTTTAATATATTTACATTTAATTATTAGAATATTTTTACTAAAACGCATTTTTACTTCAACGAATATCACTTGTGCAATTTTTTTTTTAATTTACTTTCTTGGACTTAGATTTTAAAATTTTCACCTTCAGGCTTATAAATTGGGTCTTTCTATATGTATAAAATTTAGAATTAATGTTAAAATTGGTTCACTAAGTTTTATGTCTATTCTCACACATAATTATCTATTTAATCATATTTTTGCTAATAAATTTAAAAAAATGACTTTCATCTGAATTAAAACTATTAATAAATTTAATAAAATATTGAAAGTCATTAAATAGCAAACACATGACATTTGAAAATTTAAAAACATAAAACACAATTTATAATGTCCGTCTTAATATTATCAAATACATAGAACACTAAACAAGAAACACCATAATGATCAAAAAAGTTTCAAAAATTGAGATTTCAAGAAAACGTTTTTGAAAAGCTATTTAAGTTTAAATTATAATTTAAAATAAAGTATGAAAGATAGTGAAAGCAATAAAAACAAATAACATCTAAAAACTAGCATAAAAGGCGACAATTTATCTCCCCTATAATAGCTCCATCCGTCATAGCACATATGCTGTTCGCTATGGCAGATGCCACAGAGAGCCAATGCTCTTGCTAAGTATTGCACTGTGGCATACCACTAATGTCATGGATAATTGTCATGACCGCACTCCAAGCCAAACTTTAAAAACACGCCAATTCGTCATCTGACGTTTGATGCGAGTGATTCAAGCGTCCACACGAAACTTTTAGAGCCACCTAGTTATTGACACTAGTCTCACAACCAAATATTAAACCAATTGAAAGTTGGACATCTGTAAAAAATGGTACCTTTTCTTTCGAAAACAACAACCAAGATATTCAAACTCACTTATCAAGTGTCAATAATTGTGAAACCACTTGAACTAACTTAAATAGATCATAAATAACCTAATTACATAGTTAAATCATAATTATAATATCCCACGCAAGATTTGGCTACCAAAATCCCCAAATACAACATAATTTCAAGGGGAAACAACAATCTATCATAAACTTTTCTAGGCCATACAACCACATAATCAATCATCAACATGACACTTACATTAGTATCTTGACCTCCCACAACCATTACATCACAATTATAACATTATAGATCAAGATACCCGCAAACTACAACAATATTCATGTGAGTGACCACCAAGCAATAAATGATCATAAGTTGGCATATGTATATTTAATTTGTTACAAAACCATAAGAAAGAGAAAAGACAATATAAACACAAGTCCCCTCAATACTCGGTTGTACCTTTCTTCCTTTAGCCCCTATCGGAGCCTTCATCTAAAATGTAAACATGGGGTAAGTCGAGGACTCAATAAACAAATAGTTTAATCAAACTACTAGTATATAAGAATAGATAGTGAGTATGTGAAATGGCACATAAAACATATGGAACAAGTTACATACATACTTATAGTTATAGAATGATATGCATTATCAACATATCATCTTATACCCTCCTTATATCTTTCGATTAAATCTGTGTACTGACAACTCAATTGAACCAAATCCATGTGACTGGATTGGCCCAAACTCACCAATTATGGGAGGCAACCTTGGCCAAGAGTGCCTTCACCCACTATGAATTACAGATTCCACCTGTCCACAAATACTAGGGGTGTCGGTGCCTAATCTATGTCACATAGTATTGGAATTTTCAAACAATAAAGAACTGTGCATTGGGGCCTCCATGGTGCCAATATACCATTTGAATTTTCAAATAATATTCCTAATATCACACTAGATTGAACTCTCACCCTCTCACAATGACCATGACAAAAATGTGCTCAATGATTTCCACATATAACCATAACATGTAATTTTGACTATAGTGATCACTTCCACTTAAACTGTAAAATTTCACAAATAATTATACTTGAATATAAGGTTTAGTCTTCTAAATCCACAATGTTCAAAACACAATTTCCATTCCACTTCACATAAAGTTTCTAAATCATAATCATTTCATGTTAATACTATACTAATACAAAACAAGAGTATTAGCTTTAAAAATAACCACACAACCGTCTGAACAAGCAAATAGAGAGTTTATACAATCCGATTACCTCATTCCTTATGTCACTAAAAGGGTTATTGTGGTCAAACAATGGCCCCACGTGTATCTACTTGCGTAATAATGCTCGATCAATATTTAATCTACAAGATTAAATATTTAATTATCAATCGACACATTAATTAACCCCTTTTAACACAAATTTTGAGTACCTATTATACCCAAAACCTTAATTTAATCCCTATCAATTCTCCCAACATATTTCGTTAATCCCATTTAACACCAGAACATACTAATAACCCCAAATCTCTACTCTCATTACTCTTAATCTCCCTATTTCCACTTAGGGTTCGTCTAAACCGAATCCAAAAACTCCAAATCATTATATAATCCATAAACTCAAGTTTAGAGGCTTGATTTAATTCTCTAAGACCATAACTAAGTCAATGGGTTCAGTTATTACCCAAGGGGAATGAAACTCAAGCCCCACATTACCCCAAACCATTAAAAATTCACATAAAGGGAGTAGGAGAGATGTAAGATGTAAGGTCCGCTATATAATCCGAATTTTACCAATCCACACACACCTAATACCATACAATAACAATACAATATCAGAATAATAGCTCTTAACTTGTTTTAAAAATGTAGGATCTTGACTTCATAAAAAGTATGTTCAAACAAGAGGGCTAACGAAGGTATAAACGTAAATTTATGACTCAAAGAAACACAATTATTTTTCTAGAAAACGTGTTATGTGATGCGGCATGCACCATCATGTGCCACAACATGTGGTATAGAGCCATAGGCTCCCTTCACTGTGCCATGCGCCATGGTGTGACATATAATACGTCGTGATGCATATGATAGCAATTTTGCTATCAAATGACAATTTACAGAAGCAAACTTCTGCCATGCACGAATTCTACATCTATTGTCCAATTAAAGTGATTCAAGCACTTACACAAAGCTTTTAACATATTCTATCTAATGAGATAAGTTTGAACACAATCCAATGGGCCGATCTAAAATTGGATAACCTAAGCATTCAATTCTCATTCCTTATCCCATTAGACTACTTTGGGCCTTGAACCAAGTTCAAAAGGATAACACATACCTAATTGACACATTATAATCCATATATCACAGCAAATACTTATTCTGACCTCTTAATGCCACATCACATACTTGTGGACTTATATGGGGCATAATACATGTAGTCACATATACATATAAACTTATTCAACTTTCAACCTTTCAACTTTCATATATGGGGCTAAGCCTTACCATATGGTCGAGAATCACTAGTACACTTGACTCATACAAATGGGGTTAAGCCTCACTATTTAGTTAAGATCCACACATATGCACATATATATATTCATAATAAATTCACATTTCATACAAGTGGAATAAGTTACACATCATAACATAAACTTGCTTGGATAGCATCTAGGCTTACTCACATATTCACCACTATGATAAACTCAGTGAGATGTGTAACCTCCTCCCATATCCACTCAATACAGGAGAAGATTAACAGAATCACTACTTCATCACATTGATTCAACAATCAAAGAATTTATTTGAAAAGCTTTAACCAAAGACTTATTTCATAAAATCATCAAAACCATAATACATTTGAACAATACACAATGGAAGCAAAACATATGCATTCACATCACCTATTACATGATATAAAGACCATAAAATTAAGTTGAATTATAGGCCATGCATCATAGCATGCAGCATGTGTGCCACGACATGTGGCACAAAGCCACACGCCTAAACTCTTTGTGACATGCGCCGTAGCATGTGACACCATGCACTGTGGTGTGCCTGTCTAAAATTTTTCTATCATTTTAATAGCAAAATGATAAACTTTCAGCATGCGCTAACATGAAGCTTATCTCGTAAGCTAGCTAATGAGACAGTTTGGACATAATCTAACAATCTGATCAAAATTTGAACACTCGAGTGCATAAAGTCACTTTGTCTAAAAATTTTCCACACCCAAGCACTCAAATTGATTCCTTTCTCTCATTAGATTACATAAGGCCTTGGATTAAGTCCAAAAGAACCTAATATACTTGATTGACCAACATGTATCACAATTATACCTATATACCAAAATTTGACCCCTTAATAGCTAATTTTCACTTTTCAAAACTTTTAACAATTTGCTATTACTTGGCACAACTTGGCCCACATGGCCTTTTTTCTCTACACATTCATATATTCACATTCATAACATATATATTACTCAATTTTAGTCCCAAATTATTCATTTCATCATAATTTCTCATATGGGTTTAAGATTCACCATCTTCACTACACTTTCAACATATATATGCCCAAATCTTAGCCCCTGATTCATTTCATCATATGCATATATAATTAGATTAAGATTTCATAAAATCACTACTCAAAACATGCATGCAACTTTATGACAACTTATTTACACATACATACACAAGTTTTCTAGTTCATTACACAAAACTCTTACACAAACTCTAGAATCACACGGCTTCTTGACTCTAAGCCGGTCTTGACTCTCTTCCTTTGCCTTGATCATTGTTTGGTCCTCTAAAAATGTAATCATGACAGTA